GTCGCCTCTTGCACCGCCGCTGCCTCAATCACAGACGCGGATCCGGAGCGAAGCGTTCGTTCCGGCGAGTGAGCGATGGCGGAGGCGGGACTTTAATAATCGTACTATACATTGACATTGTGTAAGTGCGGGGAATGCTATGACGAATGCATTCATCCGCCAACCTAGCTCTTGCCTTGTTTGGACTCAAATATGTATAGTAGCTTTAGGTTTTCTAGACTCTAGCGAAACTAATGGGACGTCTACACTTTGCTAACAACTTCAAACAGTTTCGAATTTTTTTTTACTACAATAAATGTGTTTACGTTAATAGCACGACAGATACTGACAACCTGTCTGTCTTTTTTTTTTATGTTAGTAATACTGAAAAAAGGATTCTGCCACATGGCAAGCTGGAGTACAATCATAGCGATACAAATCCGACCGAGAACGAGGCAGCAAAAAATAGTCCTGCCTAATACAGATCATTAAAAATGTTTCTTTTATATATATATTTTTTAATTTTCTTAATATTTTTGGAGGGTACTGTAAATGCATATATTTCCCTCTTCTTTTTTTTGTGGGGGGGTGAGAGGGGGAGGGGAGGAGTTAGCCAGTAAATCTACTAAATATTTAGTCACACACTTTCGATAACTTTTAACTTTACAAAGGTGGCAAGGCTGTAGCTACGTAATGTTTCGTTAAAAAAACGTATGAGAAAAAATACGCTAAAACCACAATCACATTTCTCGTACGTCATACAAAAGACACGGTGTTCGCAGCAAACGCGTATGACAAAATAATCTGCTCGCTTCATACATAGATGTATGCTTCGAACCTATCTTTAGAGTGTTTATGCGAAACAAATCTGACAAGAGAGTCATATAAGAAAAAAACATAACACCTGTGACAGTGTCCTGATGTCGTGCCGCTCAGGAACGAGACGAAACATTTGTATGATATTTGATGACAGTTCTCGATATAAGCACGACCGCGTTTCTTTCGCTCCTTCTTTTCTTTAATTGAGTTACGACCACCATCCTCCTCTCCTCTCTTTTTTCTCAGTGTGAAGGCAGCAAAGACCGGTTTGTAAAGAGCACTCTCGCGTTAATACATTCGGAGTTCAACGGTTCTATAAACGGTGCTCCATCTAAAAACGAGAACGCGTGTACCCAACTCTCAGCAGGTTGACTCCGTGGTCCGTAAACATCTCTGCGAGATGAACTTCATTTTGTCTTTGATTTGGTGCTTTTACGCGGAACGGTCCTTTCCACCGATTGACACGCCGATGCAACGGGCGCTTCTTTCGACCGCACAAGAGCTCGCGAACGTCGGTGGTCTAAAGTTAGATCCCGTGGTTTGATTCGTATACACGACAGCGAGCGGTTCTCGGTATTACGCGTAACTGACCCTGAGGCCATGCGCCGCTCCTATATTTAAGGCTCCATTCGAACGGGTGACCGGCGCGCGCAAAAAATAAGCGCTGTTTACACACAAGCCCGCGCCTGCCGGCACAACAGGTGCGCGCGCTTCAAGCGCGCGGAAACCCGATTTGCGTGAGGTGATTCGTCTGCCCATGCACCGACGGCAGCGCCCCCGTAGCGACGTGACGTTCGTACCGAGAGAGGTGGGCCGACGGGTATGGGCTTGTCACTAGAGGTGGCGCGAACCGGTCGATGTTCGAGTTCGACCAGTTTCGAACTTCTTGGGAAAAATTCGAAAAAGGTTCGGCTCAGGTTCGACTGCTATGCGCACGCGCGACAGGCTGGCCAGTTGGCTTTGGATTAGATGGTGATGGCTAAAAGATAAATTAAGGGCAGCACTGATTGGTTATTTCAGTTAATGCAGTAAAACTAAAATTAAGTTATGACCTTCTTGAGTGATTAGAATTAGTTTCTTTTAATTACAACTGTTCATAAAATAACAATAACCCTTTGCGTAAAAAAAAAATCTCCACACCTAGACATGATTGTATTAAGCTCTGGCCACACTGTCCACAAAGTCGAGCCTGTCGATCTGGATAAATGTTTGAAGGTTCGTCGCCGGTGAGGGACCTTCAAATCTCGCGGACCTCGTGGTAATCTAAACTGGCGTGTTACTGAAAAATGGCCGTAATATTATGTGTGTGTGTGCGTGTGCGTGTGTGTGTGTGTGTGTGTGTGTGTGTGCGTGCGTGCGTGCGTGTGCGTGTGCGTGTGTGTGTGTGTGTGTGTTTTGTGAAAGGCACAAGATGGCGGAGAGCACCCACAAGCTCTCGGTTGCCAGATCTGCCTTCCCTTCTTGCTAGCCTTTACAGCGCTCATCACCCAGCTGGAAAATGTCGAGTCACTGAACCTTGGACGCGTGCAAGCCGTCTAATATTTCACAGAAAAAAGCTACCGCGCACGATCAGAACTCGTTCCACAGACCACTCAGACACGTACGCGTCACCCCCTCAAAAAGTAAATAAATACCGTTGCTCGTTACTCGCTCAAAAGGTAACTAAAAAACGCTACTCGTTATCAACCCCAATTGTTTAATTTTTTTTTTTTTTTTTTTTTGGGGGGGGGGGGGGGGGGGGGAGGGGTTGTTTATTTGCCTTTGTCGCA